GCCGATGTGGTCGGAGTAACAACAAGATCGGCAGCCAAGAAAGAACAAGCACAGACAACAGCCGATCAGTCAGAAACGGAAACGGAAGAAGAAACGGATGATACAGATAACCGTAAACCTCTGGAGCTTGAATCAACAACAGACAGGGTTCTGCCGCATCATCTGGATATAACACGTTTGATTGAAGAACAGCGGAAAGACCCTGAAATACGGAAGAAGTTAGTCGAAATTCAAAAGAACCTCACAAAGCATCCGTATTTGCTTGAAGATAGTGTCTTATATAAACTTCAGTCGAGAGATGGTGGTAAAACTGTGTCAAAGCTAATTTATCTTCCAAAACCAATGATCAGACCAGCTCTTTATTCTTATCATGATCATCCGTTGTCCGGACACTTTGGCAGTCAAAGAACTTTTTCAGCTGACAGAACACATTTTTTTTCTCCCAATTGTCCCATTCCGTTTGTCCTGTATTTTTTTGAAAATATTTTTCTGTTGTGATAAACTGTAACTGTTACAAGAGACGCTTAAAGTCTCAGACTTATTTTTGCAAAAAATCGGCATGACGAAATTTAAGCGTAATTTGTTTGATTCTAAAATTAAAGTTACTGTATAAAAAATGTTTTACATCCACTCAGTTACTATCTCAGAATCGAAAGGAAGGAATTGTAAACCTAGTTTTAGATATGGAATATCTTCTTAAGTTTAAATCCAGACTATTTCACCTCTCCAGGTTACTTTTTAGTTATTATAAAATTAAGGTTTTGACTTGATAGTATTACAAGAATTAAACTTTTGAAGTTGCAGCATAATTACAATCAAAAGACAAAATTTACAGGACAGCATTTTTCTGCAACTTGTCCCGACTCCGTGAAATTTTTTTCTTGTCCCGAGTCCATGAGCCCAAGCCCGTAAACTTTTTTTGTCCCGTCCCCGTCTATCCCACGGAACGGGACAGATGGGATGAGATTCGGGGCTGCCTCACAGGAGTCTAGAGGATAGTCCATAATTTCCTTTCATGTTACCGAGAGAGAACGACATAATTCAGTCATTCACAGAGTTATTATTTTTATTTATTTTATTCACGAAATGCGAGAGTCATCAAAGCTGCGCGATCTGGAATAGCAATGACTCCATCCAAACACAAGTAAACTAACAAAAAAGATATAACACGAGGTATAGATATCAAAAAAGAACTGGGAACACGCTCTTCGGAAAAGCAAAGAGTAGACGACTGGGCTGCTCGCTTCGAGTTCCGCTAAGATCAAAGATCCCACATAAAGAACTAAAATATTGAAGAACTCATTTTCAGTTCTCTCAATACCAAATATTTTACCGTGAATATCAGTTATGCGCAAGACTGTAAGTAAGTCTAGTCGGTTCTTCGGAAGGTCCAACCACTTGCTACAAGAAGGATGTATAATTTTCTCCGTGTCTTGCATGTTCTGATACCCGTTTTTGAGACTTGGTTACACCATGTTTTACTCGGACTTTTCTTCGAGAACATGGTGTAATCAAGTTTTGACATAAAACATAACCCATTTCTTGTGCTAGATTCCTTGGTGGAAAGGACACTGGAAAACACAGGTTTCACGGTCACGAAAGCTCTGAAGTTTTTCTTCACGCAGCTGAGGCGCTGATTTCCCCATGTTTTGCCCGGATTTCTCCTCGGGAACATGATACAATCCAGCTAGACCATTCATCTCAGGTTTACTTAGACAATGCACTCAAAATGAGAGCGTACAGTAATTTTATTTCTGCTACTTTATAGTATAAAATTTATACACTCTCACTACTATGAAGTTATTATTCAACTTATTCAAGTTCTCATATCGCTTTTATGTATCATGTCCACTGAAAAAGAAAAATGCACTTTTTCTGGTCTCATATCACATCTCGTTAAGGTCATAAGGTCATATAGACCTACACGGATCATATAAACCTATATGACCTAAAACTCTATTTAAGCTATACAACAAAATATCAAAGTATTAATAAAAATTTAGACTTCGTGCAGACATCGACGTATTTCTTTTCTCTATTTAGGATGTACTTGCGTGTACATAGAGCTAATAGGTGCAGTAGTTTTATGCAAATAAGACGTATACATTTTTCTTTTTCTCGTTTTCTGTGTCGAAGAGTGTACGAGTCACAGAAGATATAGATATGGAAAAGATATATAATCTTCTTGCATAATAAATACATATATGTTGCAGCGAAAACTGGAATTCGGTGAAATCTGGCTTCGTACCGGCACTACATGAAAATATAGGAAAATATAGGATTTGAAAATAGAATTTATATAGGACTTGTCTGATAATATAGGACAAATATAGGACGTCTGTTTTCGCTAAAACAACACCCTTTAGCGTATTTTAAAAAAGTCAGGGCACTATCGAAGATCAATGGGCACTTCTCTGTGCTGATCATCGAATGAATTGAATATGAATATGTGTTCAAATCGATGAAAATGTCGATGCATTGAAAGGAGGTGGCAGAATGTAGGGTTTCGTGCCTAAACAATTACGTAATGAGTCATACATATTCGGAATCAGCGGCGAATTCTGAGTGAGACTGGATTCTCAGATAGTTCAAATTCGTGAAAAAAATTTTTTCGGAAAATTTTAGGGCAAAGTTCCCCCTCAGGGACGTCGAAAAATATTTTTTCTCTAAACTGGCAAAATGACACTTTTTCTGACTCAGAATTGAATACTGATCACGAAAATCGCATTCACAGTTCATCAAAATGCTTTCCTGTGAAACGGCGGCCGAAAGAAAAAGTGGGTCGAAAACCGGTTTTTTAGGGTTTTTGACTCTCAGCTGCCATGAGAAGGACCTGTCATGGTCTGAATGAAGCAAGTTGCTTCTAATTATGTGATGTGCACTCTAGTGGAACTTCTTGATCCAAGAAGCTGCAACAAAGCAAGAAAAAGAAAAGAAAAGTGGGACACTTTTTGCGGCAAGAAATGTTTCTTGGTTTCTTGCCTCAAAAGCTTGGACCAAGGAATATAAGAAAAAACACTTCTTTCATTTCTTGATTCAAGATCTTGAGATAAGAAAACAAGTAATATCCTTCTTGGCTGCAGTTGTAACTTTTTTTTCTTGGGTTTCTTGATGCAAGAAATGGATTCTTCCAAGAAAGCAAGGAATATTTCACTCGTTCTTCGACTTCTTTTCTTCATTCGCATTGGCAGCTATCAATCGTACATGTATCTGTCATATAAGTTATATACAGACAAAAATGTGTATCAGTATATAAATTCCTTCACGTTTATAAACATTAGAAAGTATATAGCCTTAATACATAGGCATTTATTTCATTCTTTTATAGAGACATCATGCACGTGCTGTTGCTTTTTTGTTCTATCTAATCTTATAGTCATTTCAATTTCGGTTATAGAAAATAGGCTTCTTGTGAATGCACGTCTATTTATACACGTCTATTTGTTACTATATACTTTCTAACGTTTATAAACGTGAAAGAAGTTATATATCGATAGACATTTTTGTTTGTATATAACTTATATGACAGACACATGTGTGATTGAAGATATTTACGTTTATTCTTTTCATTTTAGCCGAGACGCGAAAACAGTGTCTGTTGTATAAGGCACTTATTTCTTGTAGCAATCTTGAGACCATTTTTATATTCGAACTATTTGCAGTTTAGGTTTACTTTTTTAACACTTTTAAAGTAAAATTAAATAAAAAAATACTTAATTTACAGAGTAAGTACACAGCAGTTCCAGTGAGTGAGAGAATAGGGACACAAATCCTGTCTACTTTACTCTCGCACAGTTAAATGATGAAATCTAAAGATTTTCTCGATGTATAGGCTCAATCAATGTTTACTGTGTAAAGATCTCAAAATAAAAATGCACAGAAGTGAGAATTCCATCCAAGATTCTTGTTTTTTTATAACAATTGTGAGTATTATCGGTGTAAGATCACTGTGCTGTAGCGACGATCAGTTTGATGCACAGGAGATTGGGGCTCAGCCAGTCCGCCTCATTTATAGGATATTAGATTGGCTCTAATAACGAACTGATCCTAGAGATATTATCTATGGCTACGTTCACACTGCAAATTTTTCAGAGGTCACTCGAAGTTAACTTTGAGAGCGTTCACATATAAATCTTTAATAAGATTTTGACATTTCCCCTAAAGTTGTGCTGTTTGCTGGCTTCAGTACTCTCAAAGGTTGTGGTTTGCTAACAGCCGGCCGATTTGAATTTACGTTCTACAGTTGCCTTTCTAAGCTTAAACAGAAAAACGACGCAGAGAGTCAGATGTTTGTTTCCTCACAGAATTGGCTATACCTCACTTGTCTAACGGAATCATGTTATTGGTTACTGAGCTCATTTATGATTGGAGTGTTAAAGTTAAATGATGCTTTGGGCATCATTTAACGCAGAGTTAACTTTCTGACCAATCAGCTTCGTTTTAGCTTATTTAACTTTTGTAGTATGAATGTAGCCTATACTATACATTATCTGACATAATAGTCCAAGCGTGAATGTCTTCTTCACATACAGCAAACATTACCTTATCGGTAATATTCACACGCGAACCATAAGACATTAACCTCTCTCACTTTTATTTTGAGATGAAATACCAGTTATGTGTCGAACCTTAATTGAGAAATACACGAAAGAACTTCGAGAAGTCTTAGATTGATGCTGTTTTAGAATTAAAAATCAAAATTTTTCTCGAAGTTCAGAAAATCGTTAACATAGTTTCTATGACAAGTAGAGAGGATGTTTACAAATAAAATTGCTGTGTACTCATTTTAAGCTCAATCTCGAAGCGAGTCTAAGATCAATGAATCACCTTGGTTGCATTATGTTCCCGAAGAGAAAGCCGGGTAAAACACGGTGAAATCAGTTTGTTAATTATCTTAAGAAAAACTTTATTTTTGATAGATCTTATATCAAAACGTTTTCTTTTTCATCGCTACATAAGAATTCATCGACGTTAAGATAAATTGCTTGTTGAATTTTTACGTTTCTGTATTTGAACTGTCTCTCTTTATACGCGAATGTCTTGGAGAAATATTTCTTACTATCCGACTTAAAAATTATGCATTGTTATTAGAGTTCGGAGAGAACATATCAGGTTACGGGGTAATTCGTCGCCAATATTCATATTTACACCTCTGTGATTAATGCTGTTGACCTTAGGAATGCGCATGTTTGATCAGTCTACTTTTGCCGAGCGTTCTCTCTCAAATCTTCTACAGCGTCCATCCTAGGAGTTTACCACAATAAATCGCATTCTATATGATTAATTTTTATCTTATTCTTTGTTTATAAAGTTGCGTGACTCAACTTTAGCAGCGAACTCCCACTAACACTGATTTCGATAGCGGGCGTTTGGTCGGTCTCTGAATTAATATACTAAATTTCTTTTATGAAGAAACTTCTACTCTGTTAATAATTTTTATTGAGAAGTTAAAGTTGTTTCAGATGTTTACAGTAAGGCATAAAACATGTTTTTCTTTATCGATTCTTCATTCTGGGAGCAAAATCTTCGCCCACAAATCAAAAAAACAACTTTCACTAGGGCAGGCTGTTCGTTAAGAAAGTTTCTGATTTCTTTTACTAAAAAGAAATAAAACATTACACTTTACCCCCGAGATGTTGACTTCCTATAGACGACTCTTCGTTTTGTCTAAAACGTTTCGATCGCAAGCAAAAATGACGAATTTTCGGGTATATATGATCTGAAAATGTGCAGAATAGACGGTCTATAACAGTCAAGCTAGACACTATTTAACAGATCCATCATCGAAGGTTATGAATCACGTTTCTGAAGAAAAAGTTTGAACTGAATGAAAAAGACTTGATCTAAGAGAGCGATAACATTTGACATAGTGTCCTTCTATCGACTGTCCTACACTATAACCGTGAACATGTTTGAACCAAGTTTTCACTTTACCTACACTGTTCATTTTCTTCTAGATCAAGATGAATAATTCTATCGTACGTGTTATTGATGATCCACAGTCAGATTTATTCGTTATTAAACCTATAGATGGTAAAGGCTTGGGTATGTTTGCCAAATGTGATATACAGTGTGGTACAGTAATTGTATGTGAAAAACCATTAATGAAATTTCCAAGTTATTCGTCGTCCATACTCCTAGAAGAAATCTATAATAAATTAGATTTGGAAACTAAACGTCGTATTCGTTTTTTACTTGCTTCTCAAACACGAACACATCCTCTCGTTAGTATATGTAATACAAATAGTATTCCATTGGCCCATGATTCTAAAGAAAAAGGTTTATTTTATTATATATCAATGGTTAATCATTCGTGTGAATCCAATACATTTTGGATATGGTTTGATTATGATAATAAACAAGAAATGAAATTAATTGCTGATCGTCGTATTAAAGCTGGAGAAGAGCTTGTTTGTTCATATATAGGTAATTATATAGTTCACTGAATACGCCAAATTTTGTCGAAGAAAAATGTCGATATCGATGCCCTAATGTTGAGAAACAGACTGAAAAAATATCGTAGAATAGAAAGAAAATCCTCATGTTTAAACATGACGTTTTCTGGGTTTTTTTTTGGGTTGGAGAACGTGTTATTCTGTACATACGGTCGAAAAAAGTTCACCATGTACCAGGACTGATATGACTCTTGTGCACATTCTTACTGAGATAATCATATACTCAGCTGCAGAACCGGAGGAACGTGTTTTTTTTTAATAAAAAAAACACGTTTCAAAAAGATTTGAAGGGTTTTTTTGCATGTTTAAACGGGTAGTTATCCAAGCCACAGTTCTTTTCATAATAACTGAAGCCCCCCTCCCCCCTCAGAAATTATCTCCGACACCGTACATCCGATCTTGACGGAACTTTCCAGAAATGTTACGCACAATGAGTTACGGGAATGAAAAAAATTTTTTGTCTCCAAGTCTTACGGTTTAGGAGTTTTCCAGAGATCAAGGTTCAAAAAGGACCCTGGAGTGTGTCCCAAGATTTTTTAACATACTTCAAGCAGAAGAGTTCGGGTTTGTTTTATTTTAAACTAGACACCTAACTGCATCGACTGACCGGCGCCGATTTTTCAATTAAGCCTTTATTGGTTTTCCAGGCAACCAACAACCTCCAAAAGCCGAAAAATCCTTCCAGATTTTCTGAAAATTCTCAGTTTGACAAAAAACTAAGACCTAATTCAAAAATCGACGCCGGTCAGTCGATGTAGTTTGTTTTTCTCTTTTAAACAAAAAACAATGAACTGTCTATGACAAACCGCTATTAAAAATGATGGGACGCACTTCAGGTGTAACTCTTATATCTTGAAAACGCTGTATTAAACGCTGTATGGCATACTTGATTTTAGGCCTTTTAGGAAAATGCTTGTAACTTTTTGATGCAAGGTCATACAGAGTTGTGCGAGGTCTTATTTTGATCAGAAACATGTTCTTTTCTTGTCAGCAAACAACAAATTGGAAGAAAATCTCTAAAAACCATGTTTGAAAACTAAAAATGCTACACAACATTTCTGTTCAATTAATTTTCACACAACTACCTCAAAAAAATAACTTTTCTTTGTAGGTTTTTTTGTTTTACGACTTGAACCGCAACCAGTATCTTAAAAACGATGATATTTTTTGGAAAAAATCGCCTCTAGCCAAAACCATATCAAGTCAATTGATGACTTGAAAAGTTATTGGTGACTCATGGCTTGACTTGAGATTTATTGAGAGACTTCGACTTGACTGGGGCTCGACAAGTTTGTGAGTTGCCCGGTTGAACTTGAAGAAACACCTTTCTTAGGTCATTTTATGCTTTTCACGACTTGAAATTGGAGTATTTATTTGCGTTGAATCTTTTTAAGCTTTTAGATAGTTTTTGAAAGGACAAAAATCGATTTAGGATCCAAGTTGCTTTTTACTATCTGAAAAGGTTATCGATATTTTCTTTTAATATGCCTTGGTCAACTTCGACATTTTTTATGTTTGAAATTTTTAACCGAGTTTATCTGTTTATTTCGTAAATAGAGCGATTTCATTTACGTGAACGACGACATGAAATTTTACAAAATACTTGGTTATTCAAATGTCAATGTGATATTTGTGAACGACATGAGAAAGATAAAAAATTTGACGAACAATGGGCCTCTTATTCAAAAGATCAAGATTTTATTTTGGAATGTGATTCGAATCCACCACAAGAATGTGTAGAAAAATTTTTAAAATCATTCAAATTCGTACAAGAACATTATCACAATAGTTTATTACAAATGTTTCTGTTACATTTCTGTATTCTTCTACCATGTTGTATATTAAAACAATGGTATAATGTTGTTAAATATTCAAGAAAAGCAATTTGTCTTGGAGAAATAATATATGATGATGATTATGAAAGATATTTAATACCGATAAAAGAAATAATTGAGGCCAAAGTGCCAAAAGAATATCGTACTGGATTGGAAAAATATTTTAAATAAACTTTGTTTTTTTAAAAATAAAACTGTGTCAGTGTGTGTGTGTATGTGTGTGTGAAATCTGAAAATGTTAATTGGTCCGATTGTTTTTTTGTCTATTGAAAACAGCAGCAAGATAAGATTTGATTATGTCTGATCTTTTATAAACATTAATTAGAAATAGAAATAGAAGGAGGTTAGGATATGTGGATTTTATGCAGATTGTGTATTGTCCATGTCACATAAAGATATACGGATACATTGAAAAACAAAACGGCGGTGGGTGAACTAGCCAGTCTTTAGTGGTTAACGCTAAAAAATTAATTTTTCTCGATAAACTCTTGTGACTGAGAAGATTCACCGTTTGTTTTGTGAGTCAAGAGACTTGTAAAGGATACTCGTACTGCTTATTTGCGAACTCCCTGGTTCGTTCTTATGTTTGTATAGTATACAGAAGGCAGCAACAATACGCAACGAATAGAACAGGTCCGTACAGGGTAAAGAATCGTATGAGTGAATATTATTTCAGTATTTTCGATAATGGTTTAGACTAAATTACGTATTTACTTGAGTCAGAAACTTTTTCTCTTTTTTCCGAAAGTAGAGTTGTTGATTCTCTTATCAGATTTTGTGAAAGATGGTACTTTAGAAAAAACAAAAAATGTTTCCGACTTTAGTAGAAAACGTAATTTAGCCTAAACCATTATTGAAAAGAGTCTTTTCAAAAGACTGAAATAATATTCATTTACGGGCAAAAATAGAGAGAGTCGTGCGCGTCACAAGACGATCTCTACTAATTAACTGGGATCAAACATCTAATGAAGCGTAAACGGAATAACGCGAGAATGCAGAATTCGTGGTGGGAGTCGAGGCGCTAAATTACTGACTAATGACGCTACTTCAAGACAATTAATGAGTCGCGGTATGTTTTCATGAGAAAGACATGATCACGACGTAAAATCCGCTACTTCTATAGGTCAAAAACATAAGAATAGCAAATAAATCGCGATCGTCACATGACAATCACGAATTCAGAGCGATCATTCTTAGATCGGGACAAAACCGCGATAATAAAAGAAGACTCTTATTTGGCGATCATAACTATGATCGCGTTATGCGTACTTGTCGCAAATTTTTACTACAACTCGTGGTGCGAGAGAAACAAGAAAGTTGACTTCGGAAAGTTGAGGTCCGACAATCAATACCACCTTGCCCACACCGTGTGGGGGTGTTATTATTTCTTGTTGTATCGAACAATTAATGATAACCTTCACACGATCAGAATGAGGCCAGATTTTGAGCTGAGCAGAGCCTAATGTAGAGAAAAGTGTGGACTACAAAATGAGCCTGCTCCCAGCATTCGACGACCTTCAAAAAGTGATGCAGTTTTGAAGTTTTTCCTCCAAAACCTAAAAATACCCAATTTTTTCAGGTCAAGTCAAAAATGCCTCAAGTCCAAATCAAGTCAAGTCAAGTCATTTCTAGTAAGAGATTTTCGTTTAAATTAGATTTTTTCTAGCATGAAAGAGAGTTTCCGAAGCTATGAAAAAGAGACCTGGGTTAAAAATGCGTTTTTCTCGAAAGCTACTTTCTTCCTATCGGGCTTCATCGTGTCACATCACGAACCCCTTAAATTTCACCCGATCACGTTAAAAATTTTACCGGAGGTACTCAAAACACTATTGTAGAAATACGTTTTCGAAATGTTATTTTAGACCTTTAGTAATGTGACACAATAAAAAAGCGAGTTTTCTGTACACTCGTGAACGACAGTAGTTAAAAACAAAAAGAAAAAGATGCTCCATTGAGTTTGCAATCAGTTCCTGAAACTATGAAGCCTTAGTGACTCGTAGTTTTTATTTCACAGCATTTCTGCGGAGAGCCCAAAAAGAGGAGCGGGGTATCCTTAATTATTTCTTTTCATTCTAGCAGAAATGAGTCATTCTTTAACATAGACTGTATCTAATAATATTCGCTCAATAAACGTTGAGACAATTATAAAAAGTACCACACTTATGGTTCAGTCTTGGGAGATGGCCATCCCTCTATTACTGATTGAAATTTTGTGCACAAATCACAGTGGGCATCCAGGCGGACATTAGGCAAAAAATCGAAGTAACTCTTTTCTCAAATATAAATAGTGTAAAATGTAGCTGTTCAAATTCTCTATCGAATGGTGTATAAAT